AAATAAGGAAACTTCGGGAAAACCCTAAGTTTCCAGAGGAACCGGCTATCTGCGAGAACCGCACAACAAAGATTAAGATGACGAAAACACTTAGAATTAAAACGAAAATAAGCGAGATTGAAAGCAAGAAGGTTCTTATTCCGAATCTGCGTTGAACTGGTACAAAGAGAGTAGCCGAAAACGTAAGAACTAGAAAACCTTAATTGAGACGCAGCTCGCTAACAGAAAAACGGAAAGATTCCTAAATGCTAGTCTAGGTGGTGAGAGCTCTGAATTTCGTCCATGTGCTTCTGCCCTAGACCTCCTCTTTATATACTCCTCGTCTTGGCTATCCGATCTTTCCATTTCGCCCAGATTTGACTAAATCGGGAATTTTCCATTCTTCTCTATCCTTCCTTTTCTTCTGCGGAAATCTTCTATTTCTCTTCAAACCTTCCTTTTATCTTTAAACTTGACTTTTATTTTCCTTCTGCGAGTAAACCGCCAAAACGTTGTCAAATCTGCGGGTTAGATTCCGTTAAGATCGCGAGGTGGGTTTTTATCGCGTTTTAGGTCCTTCCGGGCCGTTTTGCGATAAAAATCGTTTTCCGACTTTTACGGGATCGTTTCCTGATCCAACGTCGTTTTTAGTAAACTTCTCGAGTTAATCGCAAAGTTATATCATCTTACATGATCTTTTGTGGCAGCGATGACTTCACGGCTTTTGCAGATGTTTGCTTCAGAGAGTTTGGCAACAAAGTGAAATCATGGTGGACTATTAACGAGCCCAATATGCTAGCTTGGGGAGGTTATGACTTGGGAGTTTTCCCTCCTATGCATTGTTCTCCTCCATTTGGGATTGGCAATTGTTCCAGAGGCAACTCTTCAACTGAGCCATATATTGCACTCCATAACATGTTGCTTGCACACGCATCTACCGCAAGATTGTATAAGCAAACGTACAAGGTATAAGCCATGCACAAACATATCCATAATCTCTTGAATGCTTGGTTTACCTCTATATATGTTTCTCTCGTGAGATGGTGTAGGATAAACAGCATGGATCTGTAGGTATAACTTTATTTGCATACTGGATGGTTCCATTTACTAGCTCTGAAGAGGACAGGACCGCAACTCAAAGAGCCAAAGATTTCTACTTAGCCTGGTTTGTTGAACACAATCTCATCTTTAAAAAATTTGATTTAAAAATAATTATATTCATCTCCTTTTAGGCTGCTCTCACTACAAGAAAACATAATAATTTCTGATGGAAAAATATTGATCAGAAATTTCTTACAAATATAAAATTTTACCATTTGTCGGTACCGGTATTTCTTTGGAAATATCTTAGAAAGTTCCAACAAAATATTTTTTGTCGGAATTAATTGATAAATACCGATGATTCCTAAGGAAGATTAAACGATTTGTGATATATTTTTGGGGTTTATGTTGATCGAAAATTCATCAAAAATTTTTGACGAAATTCTGACATGCTGTAAATTTTCGTAGGAAATTCGTAAACATTCCCGACAAAATTTCGAGAAAATTCCAACGAATTTCTGATATTTTTTTGTTTTATATATAATATATTCAAAATTAATGTTAAACTGAATACCTACAAGATCACCATAACATAGATTAAGAGATAAATATGATGTGTGTTTAACAATACCTCAATTATTTAAAACTATACATTATACATCGATGGATACAGAATATTTCCCGTTAACACTTATAAAGCAATTAATTTACGGTGATCCATCTTACAATATTAAAATTTGTGTGTTTTCATGTGTTTTCAAACATTTTGAAGATTACAAACCCCTAAATCATCAATTTATCATCAGTGGCTATTATCGATCTATTTTTTATGTTCATAAATTCTAATATATAATTCGTTAAAAATTTCTGACAAACTTCTAACGAATATAATTTTGACGAAAATGGTATATTCTTCGGAAATTAAAAATGTTTTTGGAAGAAAGAACTGCCTAATTTTTGCGAAGTTCTAAAATAAAAAGATTCTTACGAATATAGTCCGTCAAAAATTTTAACATGAAAATAGAAAAAAATCATTCTTCTTCATTTCAACCTTCTCTCTCTCTCTCTCTCTCTCTCTCTCTCTCTCTCTCTCTCTCTCTCTCTCTCTCTCTCTCTCTCTCTCTCTCTCTCTCTCATTCGAAGAACAACCCTAAATCCTTCTTCAAAACTCCCCTTAAATCATGTTAATCATTTATTATCCTCTCAATAATCATATATGGTAGTTTGTATATGTGTTAAGAATTAATGTATTTTAGGTTATTGTAATGTTAGAAATGAGTTAGATTTTATTTTTTTGCTCAACCACATTATTATGTGTTAGAATTGTTAGTTTTAGGATTTTACATGTTAGATTAAGATTTGAAATTTTTTTATGTTTTTTTACATGTTTATACCTTTTCTGTCGTTTTAAAACCATTTTATGAATTTATAAATGTTTAAAGCTTTTATAAAACATTTTAAGTTGTTATAAAAAGTTTCTATGTTTTTAAAAATTTAGAAAAGGTATTTTTCACTTTTTAAAAATGATTTATAAAACGTTTTAATCTTCTTATATATATATATATATATATTCTTTTATATTTAATAAAAATGTTTTCCAGTTTATGGGAAAAATTTTCAATTACAGTTGTTTTTTTAATTTATAAAAAAAGGTTTTTACTTTTTTCATAAAGTATTTTCACTTTATAAAATGTTTTCAGTTTTTAAAATTTTTTATAAAATTATTTTTTCGCTTCTTTATAAATTTTTTTTATTTATAAAATCTTGCAATTTTTTGTAATGTTAGAAATGAGTTACATTTGTATTATTTTGTAAGACACATTCTTATGTGTTAGAATTGTTAGTTTTAGGATTTTACATGTTATATTAAAATTTGAAATTTTTTTTTTTACCTTTTTTGATGTTTATACTTTTCTGTCGCTTTAAAACCATTTTATGAATTGATAAATGTTTAAAGCTTTTATAAAACATTTTATTTTTTTTTATAAAAAGTTTCTATGTTTTTTGTAATTTATAAAAAAAAATTTCTGTTTTTAAAAATTAATAATAGGTATTTTTCACTTTTATTTTTTTTTTATTTTATAAAACGTTTTAATATTCGTTTAGATTTAATAAAATGTTTTACAATTTATGGAAAATAATTTCAATTACAATTTTTTTTTGTTTAATTTATAAAACGTTTTTAATTTTTCATAAAGTATTTTCAGTTTATAAAATGTTTTAAGTTCTTAAAATTTTATAAAATTATTTTTTCACTTCTCTATAAATAGTTTTTAATTTATAAATTTTGCAATTTGTGTTCTAAATTTTTCTAAACATTTTTAAATAACTGTATTATAAATTCTGTTTTCTAGTTTTAAAAATAATTATATTTATATTTATATTTATATATAAAGAACTAAAATATCTGTTATAAACAATTGTAAATAATGTAATGATTTAATTTTAATATTATATTTTTAAATTTTTTTTATATTTATTTAATTATCTGTCGGAAATTTTGTCAGAAATTTGTTTGTCGAAATTACGTTAGAAATTTGCCCGTCAAAATTTGTTTGTCGAAAATTCCTCAGACCTTGCGAAGAAATTTCCGGCGAACCTTTTTTCCCTGATGAATTAGAACCGACGAACTTTTTGATTGGAAATTCGTCAATGACGTATTTCAACAAATTTNATTTATTTAATTATCTGTCGGAAATTTTGTCAGAAATTTGTTTGTCGAAATTACGTTAGAAATTTGCCCGTCAAAATTTGTTTGTCGAAAATTCCTCAGACCTTGCGAAGAAATTTCCGGCGAACCTTTTTTCCCTGATGAATTAGAACCGACGAACTTTTTGATTGGAAATTCGTCAATGACGTATTTCAACAAATTTCTGAGGAAATCCTCTGTAGAAATTAAGCTGTTTTCTTGTAGTGTCTTATCTTTAGAGCACGATCATTTTCATCTCTTGATTCTAGGGTTTTGCACCCGCTGGTGTTTGGGGACTATCCTGATGTGATGAAAAGAATTGTGCGCAAGAGGTTACCAGTCTTTTCGAAAGAAGAATCAGAACTCGTTAAAGGCTCATCCGAATTCTTGGGACTAATTCACTATACAGCAGTTTACACGGCACACTTATCTGGTACTGTCCACTCAGGCGATTTTACTTCAGACATGAATGCTTCACTACTACGTGCGTATGCTTTTCTTTCATGGGATGTGTGTGTGTGTGTGTGTATGTTTTTTTGAATCTACCATACATGAGTCCGTAGCTGATTATTTATTTCATTTTCTTGGACAGCCTTTGGAAACTCTACACTGGTCAAGGTGTGTTCCCAAAGACTGCAATTTTATCACGTTTTCGTAAACTCTAACACTCTTTCTCATTGATTCTCATATGTCCACAGTTTGATGTGCTTCCATGGGGTCTTGAAGGAGTGTTGGAATACATAAAGCAGAACTATGGCAATTTTCCGGTCTACATTCTTGAAAATGGTATTTGTATCTCTCACTTGTTCTTTACTTAGTTTCAAAACATTACAAAATATTGAGAGTTTCTATATAAATACACAATAAGGTCGACCAACTAACCAACATTCATCGCTTAACGACGTGGGAAGAGTTGAATACCTTCATGCTTATATCGGTGCCGTATTCATTGAGGTGTGTACTATAATATTCTCTTTGAAACGACTTGTCACTTTAAATCGTAATACTAATACTTCATACGCTTTATTATGCAGGAATGGGTCAGATATCAGAGGCTACTTCCAGTGGTCGTTCATGGATTTGTACGAATTTTTGAATCCCAATTACACATATGGATTATACTATGTGAATTTCAGTGATCCAGAACGTGAGAGATCTCCAAAAACCGCTGCTCTTTGGTATACTGCTTTTCTCCAAGGAACAACCGTTAGTTCACAAAATCTGAAGGACCTCTGGGGGTCTACCTCTCATGGGGCTTCTTCTCAGTAAAACAGAATATAGACTCTGTTTGGTTTACTTATTCGACGAGAGGAGGTCACGGACGTCTCAAGATAATGAATAAAGGCAAAATGTTGCAATAAAAAGGAAATGTGAGAGTTTGAAGATCTATATTATTATTTAAGAAATAAATTTGCTTAGTTGTCATATTCTCCATAAGTTTAGTTAATTTTTTTTATTTATAATATTTTAAAAAGTATATATAATTTATTTATAAATAAAATGAATTTATATGAATATATCATTTTTTAGAAAATAAGATAATTCTGTGAATTATGTTGTTATCTTAAAATATAATTTATATATAAAACTTAAATTAAGTTAAGTGGGTTTCTCTCTTTACCACTTAACTTAATTTAAAATTAAGTTAAATTAAATTAAAAAAGTTAAATAGTGAGAGCTTGTGGGTTTCTCTCTTTACCAATAACTAAGTGGTGGACCACAAATTTACGGGTATAAATCATTTTAAATTTAATATATTATTTTTATGTTTTTAGCATGCAATAAAATATTTTGATCATTATAAGAAAACAATTTTTAACTATTAACGAGGAAATTGGGTTCTCGTAAATTTACATGGTTTCTACGAGTATCTTATGAGGAAATAATGAATCTTTGTAGATTCGTCGAGAATTAACGAGAAACAAGTTTCCTCGGCAATCTGAAGAGACTGCCGGAGGGATGAGATGGCATGCCAAGCATACTCAGACGGAGGATGAGATGACTCATCCATCAGAAGCAAGAGCTTGGATACCTTTTAACAAAGTACATCCAGATTTCGCTAGCAATAGCCGGAATTTGTATCTTGGGGTTTAGAAAGAAGTAGAGATTGAGTTATAAGTTAAGGAAGTTGCGGTTAGGGATTTGAGGTTTTGGATTTTAGTGTTTAGGGAAATCTTTCCTCGTAAATTCCACGTAAACAAAAACACAGGCCTGGTTAATTCCACGTAAGACATATTTCCTCGTGAATTTCACGTAAACAGAAAACATGGGATTGGTTAATTCCACGTGTAACATTTCCTTGTAAATTCCTCATGGCAGCCGAAAAAGCGGGCCTAGTTAAATCCTCGAAAATAAAAAGACGGGTCTGGTTAAGCACTCTTTAATTCACAAGTACTTAACGAGGAAAAAACGCAAACCTGGTTAATTCCTCGTAAGCTTAACGAGTATTTTACGAGGAAAAAATGTGGGCCTGGTTAATTCCTCGTAAGGTTACGAGCTATTTACGAGGAAATATAATTCTTTATATAAGCTCGAGCCACCCCACTTCCCTCATTCGTAGTAACTTTTTCTCTATCTCCTCTCAAGGTGTTCCTCTCTACTTCATTCTTTGTCAAGATGGCAACTAAATTGTTGGTGGAAGCAACATGGAAAGTATTGATGAATCCCAACTTGAGTTGATCACGAATAGTATGGCAGTAAGGTTTAACATGTTTAGTGTGCTCGTGAAAGACTGGGTTGGAAGCATGATGTAGAGCAAACCTGTTGCACAGTTACAACTAACAAGAAGCCTGACTTGTACTTTAAACGCACGGAGTAGCTGATATAACAATAGCAAATCACAAGTCGGATTGGCTAGACTTATGTATTCAGCTTCAGTGCTGCTGCTACGGTTAACGACTCCTTGTTTCTTGGATTTTGAGATCCACCAAGGAAAACATAGTAACTAGAAACCACCAGTTATCGCTTAACAACAGTACTACTACTAGTAACGGGAATAAGCACATTCAGAAATGGATGTACACGTATACACATCTCTCATCTCAGAACACAAGTCCCTCTTAGATTTAATAAAATGTTTTACAATTTATGGAAAATAATTTCAATTTCAATTTTTTTTTGTTTAATTTATAAAACGTTTTTACTTTTTTTCATAAATTATTTTCAGTTTATAAAATGTTTTAAGTTCTTAAAATTTTATAAAATTATTTTTTCACTTCTCTATAAATAGTTTTTAATTTATAAATTTTGGAATTTGTGTTCTAAATTTTTCTAAACATTTTTAAATAACTGTATTATAAATTCTGTTTTCTAGTTTTAAAAATAATTATATTTATATTTATATTTATATATAAAGAACTAAAATATATGTTATAAACAATTGTAAATAATGTAATGATTTAATTTTAATATTATATTTTTAAATTTTTTTAAATTTATTTAATTATCTGTCGGAAATTTTGTCAGAAATTTGTTTGTCGAAATTACGTTAGAAATTTGCCCGTCAAAATTTGTTTGTCGAAAATTCCTCAGACCTTGCGAAGAAATTTCCGGCGAACCTTTTTTCCCTGATGAATTAGAACCGACGAACTTTTTGATTGGAAATTCGTCAATGACGTATTTCAACAAATTTNCCCAACCTTTACATACATATCAACCAATGTGGTTTCAACTACAACATTCATAGGAAGACCTGTTCTAATCAAATAACCATGTACAGAACAGCCCATTTTCTGATCTCCAAGATCAGCAGAAGCTTGTAAGAGACCAAGCATCACAACCCCATCTCTACCAAACCCTTCCCTTTGCATTCCTCTGTAGAACTCAACAGCCTTCAGCGACTTACCAGCTTGTGCAAACCCTGTCACCATTGTTGTCCAACAAACAAGATCCTTACTCGTCATCTTTCGGAACAGAGCTTCAGCTTCCTCAGTCTTCCCACACTTCATGTACAGATTCAACACAGATGAACAAACAAAGACATCATTTTCATACCCACATTCCATAGCTTTACACCACACTGCCTCCCCTTTCTCCAAAGACATAGCATTTAAGCACGCCTTGATCGCCATAGTGAAGGTCGAGCTATCTGGTCGAACACCTTCATCTATCATCTCATCGTAAAGACGCAGAACCTCTTCTGGTTTGTTTCCACGGGAAGATGCCACAACCATGGAGTTGTAAACAGATACACTTCTTTGAGGCAATTTATCGAACACCTTACGGGCATGTGAGATTTCGCCGATTCGTACACAGGAAATAATGAGGTCGCGAGCGATGGAGCTTCCATGGAGTAAGTTACCGGTAGTGATTGCGAAAGCGTGGATCTGACTGATGTGACGCTTGTGTTTAGAAGCTGATAGCAGGAAATTGAGGCGTCTCGGACACAGAAGAGTCCGATGTAACATGCAGACCAGTTTGTTTTTTTTGTTATCTTCGAGACCAAAACCAGACAGACTCTTCAGACCAATTCGAACCAAAACGAAGATCGAAGTCGTGATTACTTGCTTGATTACTTGGTTGATTACTTGCTGAACTTGTCTTGATTACTTGCTTGTCATGTAGGGCAGATAAGATTGTATCCGATCCAATTTGGTTGATTACTTGCTTCAAAGAAAATTTAACAATTAATTTTCCAAACCAATACTAACCGGACTGTTAAAGCACTTACACCTATCACAAATTGACAACCGAAACTTTGATCGGTACCTCCAGATCGGCCTTGGACCAAACCAAAGAATTAATGGTTTGCGGCTGCACTATCTCCTATATATTAATCGAGAAACATTTTAAAATGTGTTAGGTTGCAACTTTTTATGCCTTATAATTCAATTTAAAAGTATTTTAGAACACCTTATATAAACAATAGTACAAAAGTTATATTCTTTTGTAATATAATATTTCACAGACTATATTTGGTCGCATATATCAAATATTTATTGTTCCGAAGATTTTCCTTAAATAAAACCTACAAAATTACCTAATATGATTAAAAAATATATATGTATATATATATTAATTAATGATTTTAAACAACAAAGATTTGATAACAATCTATATACTTTTCATGATTTTTATTTATTATTAAAATAATTACACAATTACATTAATCATATAATAAAATAGTAGATTTTTTATGTATGTTGTATTTTGAATTTTTCAAGACGAGTATAAATTACTAAAACTATTAAAAGTCTCACATAATCTTTTATGATCAAGGTTTAAATTTTTTTCTATATTAAGATACAATTATTGTAAGACTCATATGAAGAAAAAAATGTTTTTAATAGGTTTTATGTAAATATATATAGGGCTTTTTGCAGAATTGACCTGAAACTTGAAGTCAACCACAAAACTAACCTCCTTTTTTTTTGAAACTTATTTTTCCCTATTCACCCCACAAGGTCATATAATTCACGAAAATGCCATCAATTTTTTTTTCCGAAAATAACATATTTACTCTCTCACCCTCATCATCTTCAAGTAATTACAAGATTGCCATTGTCATCAATACTCCAACAACCATGAACAACCAATTTTGAAGCTCTTAATGCCTCCAAATTCCATTTACCCTTGTTCTTTCTCTATTCTCATGAACTAAACAACACATTACAACACATATCTCTCACTTTCTCTCCACAATGAGCTAAAAAAACCCAAGATTTTGATTCTACATTTTTTAGGGTTCATATAGTCAAAGAAATTAAAGATTCAAGGTGGATTACCTTTGTTTCAGCTCCTGAGTGCTTGATTCTACATTTTTTAGGGTTCATATAGTCAAAGAAAGTGCTCTCACCAATTGAAGGTATGAAATCGAGTTATTTTTTGCGATCTGTTCGTCCAGACGACTGAAATTTCAGTCGTCTGCTTTCGTCCAGTCAACGCAGAAGTTATATTTGCAATTAACTTTGCAATTTGTTTCCAGAGACGACTGAAATTTCAGTCGTCTGCTTTATTTTGGCTACAAAAAAATATCTTAAGAATCTAGACGACTGATATTTCAGTCGTCGTATGTTAGTTTTGCATTTGACTAAAAAATTTCAGAATTTTGACTTTCTAGGATGACTGAAATTTCAGTCGTCTGCAAAAAAACTGAAATATCAATTTTTTTATTGGAACGCACGACTTACAATATTTTAGTTTTGCAATTGTGAAAAAAAACTTTAACTTTCTAGATGACTGAAATTTCAGTCGTCTAGATTTTTTTAAATATTGAAGTTTGTTTTCGCAATTGCAAAACTAACCTACGACGACTGAAATGTAAGTCATCCAATTTCAATAAAAAATTGATATTTCATTTTTTCGCAGACGACTGAAATGTAAGTCGTCCTAAAAAGTCAAACTTGGATTTTTTTTTATCAAACATACCCAGACGANCAAGAAGATCAATCAAACAAACGTAATGTTTTTCGCTCGGTTGTATATTATATCTGTTTCTCATGGCGCTGAACCAATGCTGGCCTTGTTCTACTAGACCTAAGTGGCTAAAAGCAGAGAGAAGAGAAGCAAAAGTGGCGTGGTCAGGTTCTATATCTGATTCCGTCATATTCACGAACATGGAGACAACTTCTTCACCGTCTCCATGGATTCCATAACAAGATATCATTGTGTTCCAACAAACCAAGTCTTTCCTTCTTGTCTGATTAAAGATTTCTCTCGAACTTGCAATAACGCCGCATTTTGAATACATGTCCATCAAAGCAGTTGCGGTTACTCGGTCAAGAAAGTGCCTTCTCAAGATGTAACAATGTATAGACCTACCAGTCTTTAACGATCCGACTTGCAAACAAGCCAAGAGTACTCCAACAAGAGCCACAAGATCCGGTTGAAACCCATGGCTCTGCATCTCTACTACTGCTTCAAGGGCTTCACTGGCTAACCCATTTTGAGCAAAACCAGAGATCAACGACCCCCACGACACCGCGGTTTTAAACATCATCCTACTGAACAACCTGGAAGCAGCCTCTAAAAACCCAACCTTTACATACATATCAACCAATGTGGTTTCAACTACAACATTCATAGGAAGACCTGTTCTAATCAAATAACCATGTACAGAACAGCCCATTTTCTGATCTCCAAGATCAGCAGAAGCTTGTAAGAGACCAAGCATCACAACCCCATCTCTACCAAACCCTTCCCTTTGCATTCCTCTGTAGAACTCAACAGCC